TTTAAGTGTTATAAGCCATGAACCAAGCCAACCAGCTATAATGTGAATCACAACATCACAAACTTTCACTTACAGTAAAAAAAAAGGGCAAAAAAGACGGTGTATTTAACGGTGTACTTAATGGCTTTAATGAGGGGAAAGAACTAATCATTGTGAACGACTATCTAATTCAAAAAGATAAATATAAAATAAAAAGAAATATAAAACTTTAAAAAAATTGCTGTTGATTATATCTATAGAAACAATATAGAAAAAAGAAAAAGAAATATAAAACTTAAAAAAAACTGCTGTTGATTATATCTATAGAAACAATATACAGTATTTTGTGTTTATTGCAAAATATGCATATATAAATTTTTCACCACAAATTCTGTTAAACATGATTATTTCAAAAATAGAAATAATGTAAACCGATGGCTTTAAAAAAGCATACAGCCTCCCATCGAGTAATAACCTTGGAGCTCACAACAGGTCTGTCTTTAAAGATTTATAAGTTAGCGTTAAAAATCAATTTCCCTTTGGAGAAAATGAATGGAGTTTTACTACTGGAACCCAACTGCTGCACTCTATTTAACATTTATAATATTTAAAAACATTTTAAAATATGTAAATGCACCAGCAAAGGTAGACAGAATGCCTCCAGGTACTCTGCCACTTGACTATGGAGATTAAAAATTGAACAATTATTTAAATACATTTTTTGTGTTTACTTTTTCATGTTATATTTCTAATGATTTAAAAAAAAAGGGTTTTAAGTGTTATAAGCCATGAACCAAGCCAACCAGCTATAATGTGAATCACAACATCACAAACTTTCACTTACAGTAAAAAAAAAGGGCAAAAAAGACGGTGTATTTAACGGTGTACTTAATGGCTTTAATGAGGGGAAAGAACTAATCATTGTGAACGACTATCTAATTCAAAAAGATAAATATAAAATAAAAAGAAATATAAAACTTTAAAAAAATTGCTGTTGATTATATCTATAGAAACAATATAGAAAAAAGAAAAAGAAATATAAAACTTAAAAAAAACTGCTGTTGATTATATCTATAGAAACAATATAGAAAAAAGAAAAAGAAATATAAAACTTAAAAAAAACTGCTGTTGATTATATCTATAGAAACAATATACAGTATTTTGTGTTTATTGCAAAATATGCATATATAAATTTTTCACCACAAATTCTGTTAAACATGATTATTTCAAAAATAGAAATAATGTAAACCGATGGCTTTAAAAAAGCATACAGCCTCCCATCGAGTAATAACCTTGGAGCTCACAACAGGTCTGTCTTTAAAGATTTATAAGTTAGCGTTAAAAATCAATTTCCCTTTGGAGAAAATGAATGGAGTTTTACTACTGGAACCCAACTGCTGCACTCTATTTAACATTTATAATATTTAAAAACATTTTAAAATATGTAAATGCACCAGCAAAGGTAGACAGAATGCCTCCAGGTACTGTGCCACTTGACTATGGAGATTAAAAATTGAACAATTATTTAAATACATTTTTTTTGTTTACTTTTTCATGTTATATTTCTAATTCAAATGAAACCAATCACCTGGAGACTGGACCCTACCGTCTGTGTGTTATGAGCGTGTGACTTGTCTTGTGAATTTTAGTGCAGACAGACTCTGGCAGGCATGTATCAGCGAATATATTTGGTAAGTAAGCGTTTTCCTTAGTGTGATACATGTACTGTGGATCAGTGGCAATGTGTGGGACTGATAGCCATATTTACTCTCACCATTTTATCACAACATGTCTTCAGGACACCTTAGCTTACAGGAGTGAATTGAATACTGTCTGTATGAATGAGTAACTGAAGTCAGCCCCCTGTTCTATTCTCACAGCGGTAACCATAGTGACAGTAAATATCAAAGACGGTGACTTCTATAACACCGGCATGTCTTTACACAATTGACATGGTGTTATTTAATAAACAAGTCGAAGTGCGAATTCATCCGTGAAATCTTAATTAACCGACAACGTCTTTCAGTTTTAAACTGAGCGTAGAACGCAGCATCTTGGTTATGATCAGACCACAAAACTGATGACAAAAGATCTGGAGAAATACAACGACTGGATCCAAAACCCTCAGATGAAACTTGTATCTATGCTTTTTTTTGAAACACAGAAACCCTACATTAAAAAATACAACATGAATAAAACAAAACTGCACTGTATGACACAATCCACCTGAGAAGTAAAATTATATATATATATATATATATATATATATATACACTGTATATAAAAAAACGTACTGACCCCAAATTGTAATTTATATGATATGAAATTTAAATGTTGCATAATGCATAATTACAACATTCCAAATATGATTAATTATATAATTTCATGGCATTGAAATAAATAAATAAACACACAAACAAACAAGCAAACAAACTATATACTGCTAATTTGGGTGTTTAATCACTTACCTGTTCAGCATGATACCATGGTAACTACAAACTCTAAAAATATTGTGATATGTTAATAATTCAGTACCTTGCTATTTATCAAACTATCATGGCACTGCCACAATAATGGACTATCCCATATAGCAGCAACATACAGACATTCTGCTGAAACAGATGATGTCATGAAAGTCAGTTAAGGTAAAACCCCTGTTTGTTCATTTTATTTTGTGTGTCCAAACATCTGCCGCAGAACAAATGTCTTCTTATGTGGAGAACCAGAGGTCTGCTAACCTTCCCTACACCTGAGGTGAAGGAGCCACAGAGAGAAAGTGCAACACAGAGTCACAGTGTTTATTAATCTTTACTGGGAAGCTCCTAAATATGGGATTGGAAGTCTTATTACAATAATGATGACCACTGAAGTGATTGTGGTCAAATAAAATATTTGGTAATTTATTTTAATTTGCTAACAAAGGATGCTCATTAGGTGAGTGAAATACTATTATTTGCATATTTGTTGATGAAGAATACTCAGACAGTACTCATTTAGCCATGAGGTGATGGGTAGCATAAAAAGAATCAGTTAGACATCAAATGTGCACCATTTGTTCTTTATTTTGTTGCATTAGCACTAAAAAGCGACCTGTGTTCGGCAGGAAGTGAAAGAGAAAGAAAGAGAAATGAAATTGTACAGCAAGTCCATTGTATTCCGACCAAAATCACTTGAACTTACATCACATCATAATTACAACTTCCGAACTCCTAAGTAGGAACTTCCCAGGAGGACTTGAAAGCAGCGTAATTACGACATTGTGGCGGGGTTCATGTGCGCTCATCACATATGAATATTATGAATATTTTCGCAAGGCACTGTATATATATATATATATATATATATATATATATCAGAAAACAAAAATTCTCATCATGCATATTAAACTAACTTTTTAAATTATTTTTTTAAATTAAAAAGTTTGTTTAAAACAAGAAAATGTAACTTAATTAAAAAGGAAAATACGTTTATTTTTCTTCCCCAAGTGGAAGATATTTTCCTATATTTTAATAATAAACTAATTTAATTTTGATAAATTAATCAGAAAACAAGACTTAATATCTAATGTCACTTTGCCTCAAGTAAATGTATCTTGATTTAAAGTAATTTGAAGTCGGCATGAAATGAAATCTTTTTCTTTTTTTTTTCTATTGTTAATGACTCATCAATGTATGTTTAATTTAAAAAAAAATGTTGTGAGCTCATAATTTTTAATCAAAATCCAGTGAAAATGGCATACTTCTTTCTGGTGATTTATGCAAGAATTCTCCAATCATTCAGTCCGCTTAAACCCGCCCCTGGAAGCTCATGTTCATCAGAATCCATTTAACAATCAATGCACAGAACCAGAAGTCTCGGCTCTAAATATTGTCTTTTTCAATGTTTAGATATTTGTACTGGAAAACAAGACAAACATACTGTTTAAGAAATGTACTTTTTTAGTGGGACTAATAGTAATCCAAAATTCACACAGCAAAGGTTTACTGAACTCACTCCTCAAATGCAGGTGTGAATGCTGAAAGTTGAACTCAGTTCGTAGTTCCATTTATAACCGAGCTAAGCATGAACGGAACTGAATTTAGCACTGTAAAACATGACTGACAGCCATTTCTGCTGCTGTTTGAGCGTGTCCAATGTGTGTTTCTGAGTGCATGTAAAAATGGCACTCCATTTCACTGGTCAGTAGGTTTGTGTGGCAGCTAATATTAGGGACAGAGTGAATCCCACTTTCAAGAGAGAGAGAAAGATAAAGAAAGAAAGATTCTGGGTAGAATGCCAGGGCATTTCACAATTCTCACAACTTGGCTTCATGCTCTGAAAGCCCAGACAATCTCAAGAAGCCATTTATTGTGCATTCTGCACACATGCAGCCTTCTTATATTCTCCCATTATAACGCTCTCTTCTTTGAACTCAATATTGTCACCTAAATGTGTTTTTTGGCACATCTTCCTGATTCCCAGACTGTTCCCGGACGTGTCTGCAACAGCCGTGACAGCCGACACATCAAAGCAGCCGCCCTGATACTGTAAGACTAGTGTCTAAATGCTGAGGAATGTAAGCCTGTTGCTCTTGCAAACACAGAGGTTTAAACTCATCACAGATCACTGAAACACACATCCCAGTGCCAGGAAAGATGGCATGGTGCAAAGGAAATGGTTTTGGAGTGTGTGATTTCCATTTGTGTGTGGGAGTGTTTGGGTTTTGGAGTGAGTGATTTCCATTTGTGTGTGGGTGTGTTTGTGGCTGGGGGGGGGGGGGGGAGTGTGTGTGGGTGTTTGTTTAGCTCGAGCTATGTTTATTTAAGGGAGTGTGGGTCTTCATGGCGGAGGGTCCTAGAGGTGTAGTTGTGTAGGAGTGAGTCTGTTTGGTAATTTTCTCTAGCCTATTACTGTGTGTGTGTTCTCCAGTCTGTTTACTAAATGCAAATGTGTTTTGTGCTAGAGAAGGGGCTTGAACAGATTGTGCCTGTGCCATATTATGCATCCGTGCGTGAGCGGGTGTGTGTGTATTTGACCCTTACTGTTCTCAGTAGATAGGGCAGTAACTGCGTTGGTTGCTGTGGCGTCAGATTTGACCTGGCCATTCTCAAAAGCATAGCCCTCAGTCTCCTGCAGCTGCCAATTCAATCCAAAGAGATGCATGGCTATGGAGAGAGAGACACAAGAGAGAGAATGATCACTTACAAATAAAGGAACAAGAAGCAATAGATTAAGAGACAGTGAAAACACACTGATATAATCAATATAAAACAAAGTTTGCCCCTGTAAAACATTGTGGAACACTAGGATAATGTTGATGTGGCTTTAAAACCCCTAAAGTTGACCACAAGTTACCTTCACCCCTATGATTTTCTGGTTCCTGGATATAACTTGGGACCTTCCTTCAGTGTCTAGGGGATATTTATTGCCCATCAGGATATTCATAGGTGTGATCACTTAGAAAAGTAACAGCACATCTTTCCTTAATGAGCCATATGATTTTATGATTTATTAATGCAGCGCACAATGATTGGGACAAGTTACATTCTAAAGATTATCACTTAAAGTATCAGCAAAAGTAATGGTGATACTTGCCTTTGTAAACCAGTAAACACCACTTTGTAAACACCACTAGTATTAGAAAAAACAGTCACAATTGTTTTTTTTATGGAATGTTGCAGTGTTTGTTGTTGATTTATCACATCATTACTTTTTAAACTCATGTGCCCTCATACTCTTTAATCAAAACTGTTAATGTCCCCTGCCCTAACAAAAACATCTCTTCCTTGATGTGTACACAGGCACAGGGCAATAAAACGACCAGACTTGTTTCAATCCCTCTCCTCCAGCAACCTGTCAGTCACATGAAACGATCACACAAATTAGCAAATGACAGTGAACTAACAATCCAATCATTTCCTGATGGACAAAATTTTTTTTCTTGTTCCAAAAGCTGTTTCACTTGGAAAGATGTCAAAATAGTGAAGAAAACTCACAATCAGTGTTAGGGGTAATGTATTGTAAGTAATGCGAGTTACGTAATCAGATTATTTTTTTAAGTAACTATTAAAGTAACTAAGTACCGTAATTAGTTACTTTTTATGGAGTAACGCAATATTGTAATGCATTACTTTTAAAAGTAACTTTCCCCAACAGTGGTTGCAATTATTGATTCATGGTGACCTTAAAGATTCTATTCTAATATTCTAATAAACATTGTCAAAAACTAAACAGAGAGTTGTTGTGTAATCAAGCCCCTATAATGACCTTTTGAAAGAAAAAAGAATAAAAACAGCTACATGTCCTGTATTGATTTGTTTGTGCATTATTTTACTCTTTAAACAGTCATTGTTATATGTCAAGTGGGAATACCAATTTATTCATCAAAGCTCAAGTTTTTAAGTTAAAATAGCTCTAAAATGCTATAGTAGCCTCAGCTGATGAATTTGGTATCAGTGACAGGAAAGACTGTGCGGCTGTGCTGTGGAATAATATGTTTAGACAGCTGCTTTGGCTGTCTCGTTTCACTTGTTCCTGAAATGTCTAAATGTTCTCACCAAAGTGTGCTTGTGTGGAATTTAAGCATTCGAAAATCACACTTGGCCTGTATATTTGTGACACGAGGTTCAGTTCAGGTGTGGCTAGAAACACAATTGGCTACATTTCAGGGTGGGTTTGCCAAACGGTCTTTCACAGATTCTGCAAAAGGCCCCTGTGGGTAGCAAGACGACCTGGGTGAATCAGCACCCATTTGAATATGTTTTGTTTCCCCGGTGATGCCTCTAAAGCACATGCTTGGAAAGGTCATACAGGATAGTGTACAATCTGTAGGATTCTGCAGGAACTAAGCCATCATGAGGCCTCATCCTTATATGGGGAACCAGTTGGCTGTAAACTGAGAGGAAGTACAGTGAAATGTCAAGGGGTTGACCAAAAATACTGCTCAAACATACTTGTAATGGAGGAAAAGGTAGGTTATTCATTTTGCAGACACTGAGAAAAACACTGCAGCGATTTGTGGAGACCTTCTCCATTTCAATCTTAACCCTACCTGGATCGATCCCATAACATTTATATTGTCATCCCAGAACCTTAAAGGGACAGTTTACCCAAAAATGAAGATTCTGTCAACATTTATGTAGTTCAAAACACAAGAACACAAGAAACCATGTGACCAAGACCTGTTAAGTTTCAAAAGAAAATAAAATCTTTTTTTGAGAAAAAATTATCTCATACTGTTTATCTCATTCACAGATTTGAGTACGCCAGTATAGCAGAGGACAATATTATAAGTGACTTAATTTCATTTTGTTTCTTACACAAAACTATAGTATTAGCTTCAGGAGATTATCATATAATACTTTTATGATACACATTTTGTCCACATCTCATAGGACGTACTGTATATGTATGTGTGTGTGGTAGCTGTGCTGAGGTGGGCTGCTCTGAGGGGACAGGCTGATCCTCTCTCTGAGTAACAGCAGTGTTAGCTGCAGACGTTGGCTCTAATAAAGGTAATTTAGACCTGCCAACAACCCCCACTGGGTCTCTTCATGCCCCAAGAGCACACACACAACCTCCCTACATAAATCATTCTCCTTCTCTCTGTGCTGGTGTATTTGTGTGTTTACTTGTGTGTGTAAAGTTTCTTATGTGTGCTTGTTATCTGGAACTGTAGGCTTTGCTGGTATTCCTGAAATGCGTAGATAAAGCGTTATACATTATACAACAAAAGCGCTCCAACGACATTGGAGCATTAATGAGAAGGATAAAGACATAGAAGAGTTGATGTATGACAGTTTCATTAAAGTATTTGAGCAGTAATTGGCTTATAAAATTCCTTAAGCTCACCCTCCAAAGTCTTGCCATATCTTTCTATCCGGTCTCACTCTTACTCTCTCATTAAATTAGATACCCGCTGGGTCAGTCCGTTCACGGAGCAGTCGATGTCCAGCACTCTGACCTTAGCCGAAGCAGGGGGTTATGGGAGAGTGGGCAGTATTGACTTCTCCGGCAGAAAGACGGCCACCCCCTGCTGATCTGATCGAGTCGCTCGCCGACACACTTTTGAGCAGGCTGCTCCATTAACTTTCAGCATCGTAAACGAGGAATGAATATGGAAGTGCAAAGTTTTTCACCTCTGTATCGGATTCTGATTGTTCATGAAACAGTTCCTTGATGGTCAGTTGCATTCACTTGTTGCAATATCTGAAAGCGAAACTAATGTGGATGAATAAACAATCTTAAAGAGATAATAGAGGATGGGCACGCTCGGATCTTAGAGCCGCAGGGTGTTCGGGAACGATCATGCATGTGTATGGAACACATCCAGGCTATTAGAATACAAATGCGCCAAGTGCAAAATAAAAAAGCGTCTAGTTCTCTCAGCTGACAAAGAATGTAAATTGGCTGTTAGGTTTTTCCTAATTTCCTTTCCTTCGGTTGTCTCGCGAGTGCTAAAACAGCTAAAGGTGGGCGAGATCATGGGAGGTGGATCGCTTTGTTGATGAGCCCTGGGAACAGAAAGCGATGAATGATAAAGCAGGCTTCAGAGAAAGACCAATTCTACATGGGGTGAGTGGAGAGAGAGTGAGAAAAAGAGAGAGAAAGAGGGCAATGGAGGGAAGCACAAAGCCTGATCAGTTTGGAAGTGGGCCGCTACTGCCTCAGGTGTGTAAGGAATGAATAAGAGAGTAAGGAGGAAGAGAGAGTTTTCACCAGGGCAGGGTTCATATGCAGTGGTAAGAATTACAGTTGAACTAAATGCAAGGCAACTTATACAAGGCAGGATTGGCGGTTATGTAACCAGTGGGACTCGCAATGCGATCGAGGACCCAGCGACGCTTCATCTTAAAATACAGCTCCATATTTCTCACTCTGTGTCACTTATGATCATTAGCAAGAGGATGGGGAAACTGGCTTTCTGTGACTCAACGAGAAACTATTTTCAGAATTAGTGGGAGAAAAACACAGCAAGCAACACCAACAGAACTGAGAAAAAAAACAATCGTGAACCGTTGCATTTAACTGCGCGAGAGATACGCCAATGAATAAAAAAGACTTTCTGCAGCAATAAATCAAGGGCAAAACCAAATGTCCTTCCTTCACTCAGGGTGTTGTGTTGAGAGGAGAGCTGCTGACAGCCTGTCCCCTGAGCATTTCCAAATCACCCACACAAATTACCTCAACTCTCACCATCCTTATTTACAATAATCAACCACTTTTTGCAAGGCACCAAAGCTGCATTTTTCTATGCCTATGTATGAAGAAAAAATTATTATGTGTATTCAGAAATTTCATCAATGCCAATCAAAACTTTTTTGAATGCAGGGTGAACAAGGTATGAAACAGATTTTAAAAATGACTATTAATTATTCTAAAATCATTTAGCAAAAAACATCAGTGGGAGGACAAAGCAGCTCGCTAAACTGTGAAAATAAGAGTGCACTGTGGAAAGACTGAGTTAGTATTTTCTCCAGAGCATCACTACTCATTCATGGAGACACAGACTGAATGAAAAACTCTGCCTGGCTCTGCCTAAATGTACAAAGCTTTTTAGAGGTGAGAAAAGCTGTGAAGTATTTATGAACAGCTTCTCCATCTTTTAAAACAGGACTGAGAAACTCATGGCATGCCATGCTTCCTCTGGCTGGTGTTTGGTCCACTGGGGCCCCTTTATGAGTTTTTCCAGCTTTTGGAGTCAATGCTCAGAGCAACGTTTAGAGGTCATCAGCACTCTGTTCAGAAGATGCAACTTGTTTACCATGGGCATCACATTGTTTTAAAAAAGGGAATAGTTGAGGGAAGATGGATAGACTTCTTGGTTGTGAAGTCATGCTTGCTCATGAATGCACAAATAATTTAACATGATATTTTTTTCTGTTTTGGTAAATAAAGAGTTGAATTGGAGATGAGGTCTGTAGTCGAAAAAAATTAGAAAAAAAAAATCTAACATGCAGAAGATGCTGAAAAACCAAAGTATATGCAGGATGTGGACAATTATTCTGAAGAATAGTGATAAAAAAGGGACTTGTGAACAAGTATGAAATGAAAACTGCTGGAAAGGCCTATGCTGCCTTCCATCAGGGCTTGTGCTGCATCAGTCTCGTCTCAGAACTCTCTTTTCAAAAAGCTCAGGGAGCAGTTAAGTGAGTAAAAAAATCTG